CCGACCAGGCTGCCAGCCAGTGATAATTTTTTGTCCAAATAATCCTTTACTTGAGACACTCCAGGTACGAAATCTTTCTTTCCCAAAAGGAAGGCATCACTACCATTCAGACCCCCTCCTAAAGGCGGAATCACAAAAGCTCAGTAGCAGTAGAGTAGTGACCGGCGTAGCAGTCAGTCAGAGTCGGGTGCCAGGATCGGAAGTCCAAAGATAGTCTTCACTTCCAAATCCCATTTCTCTAATTCACTAATTCTAAACCTTAGTTCCCTCTAATTCTTAAGCAATTAACTTTAGGTTATTTTTAACATTCTTAAACATTTACGAGCGTTTTATTCTAATGCATAATTCTTTAGTTTGTTAAACAGTTCATTTTAGTTATTTCGTCACTTCCGTTACTCTAGCCATACTTAAGATATCTTTGTGAGCATATTATATATCAAGAATTATACAATACACATTATATATGTATATATATATATATATATATATATATATATATATATATATATATATATATATATATTATCTGTAGTAATTCTATTTCTACTCCCTCCCATGCGAACATCCTTACACGGCACATTTCCTCCTACGCCTAAGCGAAACCGCGACGTGCGGTGTTCCTCCCTAGTGCCCATCGGTCAATTGCAAGTGATTCGAATATTCGAACTCGCCGCCACGCGATCCAGAACGAGGTTCCCCAGAGTCGGCAGCACCTAGAAATCCAGGAGGTGCCGATCCATGTAAGCCACGAGAGCGCCATCCAGGGGTACAGAGAGCAACCGCACGGTGGACGACCACTGTTAAGTCATTATCTACATTATTTCTATACGCGCGAAACTACGATTAAACTGCGACTGTCCGACCCACCGTAAGGTTACACTATGGTGGTTATACTACGCGTTTTGCGCGAAATCCATCGCGATTACTCTTGATCGCACGGATCCCCGGGTAGAATCACGCAATTCGTTTAGCCCGAAAAATTGCGATCTGATCCCGTGCTAGAGTTCGAGCGCTATTCTTCATGGCAGCGTGGCCGCAACTCGCCGGGACGTAACAATATATATCGTCGATATTAAGATTATCTAATAAAAAGTTACTATTTAATACGCGTATGAAGTACACGATGTAAACCAAATCAATGGCTTGGTGATTGATTGAATACGTCTCTTAAAGGGACGTCTACATTGGAAGTAAGCAGTAAGAAATAGGAAATAACAATAAGAAATTGACCAATCATAGTTGATTATTCTTCTCACATTCGACTGTGGTTGGTCAATTTCTTACTCTTACTTCCTACTTCTTGCTATTTACTTCCAATGTAGACGTCCCTTTATTATTTATAACTTTAACCTCACAAGTGTGTGCTAAACAAAACTACTTCCAGTTTAGATACCCTAGCGTGTAGATGTGTTTAGGCACGATCAGTGATTTTTTTGGAAATTATTTCTAAAAGGAATATTTGAGAATAGAGATTTGAAAGGATTAAAAGAAGATATATTAAGGATAGTGTGCCAAATAGCTATAAATATCCTCGGAGGAGACTGAAGGCATGAAGACTTAATCGTCAATCAGAAGAAAAAGCTAAGCAAAACTTTTTAGTGATTGATTCGATCTCGTGATGGAGTTAGAAGCTTTGTTAGAAGCAAAAGAATTACACAGAAATCACCCACCACCTGTTACGTTAGAGGATATGATAACAGATATATGTTTTCATCCTGTAGCCGATACAATCGGGGTAGCTAGTATTACAGGAGATATCTTTATGTACGTTTTATTATACATATTTATCGGGGCAAATACTTTATTCTATCTTTTGTCTTTCAGATATAAGTATAATAATGAGGAAACTAGTCTTGTTTCAACATTAGAGTTACATCTCAAAGCTTGTCGTGACATTGAATTTAATGAAGATGGACGGATGTTATTCTCAGCTGGAAAGGATCGATGCATAGCGATAACTGATGTGGAGACTGAAAAATTAACTAGACTATATGAAAAAGCCCATGAGTAAATATAGCATATAACAATATATTATCTTCATTGATACATTGATAACTATACATATTAATGAGTATTTTTTTCCATAATATAATTGCTAGGCACCCTATATATACAATGACAATTATCAACAAATATATATTTGCGACAGGCGACGACGATGGTGTAGTAAAATGTAATAACTTATACTCAGTAAATCTTGAATCAAAAGTAGTTTTGAGTAATGAATAATGTTTTCAGTATGGGACCTCAGACAAAAGGGTAACAAACCAATATTTTCTTTAAAAGAAGTAGAAGAGTATATCAATGCAATGATAACCAAGACAGACTCTAAATACTTGGTATATACTAGTGGTGATGGCTGTCTGACTTCTTTAAACATACCAGAGAGAAAATTACATGTACAGGTAATGGAGACAATAATATGCAAGTCAAAAAAAGAATGAGATGATCTCATTGTAATGCAAGAATCTATTTTTGCTCATAGTCTGAGGAGTATGATGAGGAACTGACGTGTCTTGGTTTATTCAAATCTGAAACTAAATTATTATCAGCTAGTAGTAAGGGAAAAATGTATGTATTCAATTATGGTGAATTTGGATTGCACTCGGACGAATTTCCAAGCACTATGAAGAAAGCCATAAATTGTATGGTTCCAATTACGGATAACGTGGTGATAACCGGAGGAGAGGATGGAATAGTTCGGTGAGTAAATTATCAAGGCAAAGTCGAATACGATACTTCATGTCGTTCATGTGATATATCATCTTCATATATATGTGTATGATACATTCAGAGCAACCAGTTTGTTTCCTCATCGCCAACTCGGTATAGTAGGACAACACGACTTCTCCGTCGAGGCGCTTGATATTAGTAATGACGGAACTTTAATAGCATCCACCTCGCACAATAACGACATGAAGTTTTGGAATGTACAATACTTTGAAACATTGAATGTCAATGAATCCATCAAGGGGGGCAAGCAGAAACGACTCGTGCATAATCTACCGAGCAGTCAAGTTAACAATCCGTCGGATTTCTTTGCGGAATTGTAATATAATGGCAACTTTATGCAATAAAATCATGCAATTTATATGCAGTTATCAAAGAGTGTCACGATATATTCCTCTTAAATCCATTTGCAAGGTATAAATGAAAAATTATAATTTTATAGTTACCGTTCGTTCGAACAATGAGGTCTATCTCAAACAGCGTACGGAAATGAGCAGATGAACAGATAGGTGTTATAAAACACGTACATTTTTATACAATCATTACCAATACATGAGCGATACTACACAAATTTGTGTGATATGAATACTCGCGATACCTTTTAAATTAAACATGGAATATCTTACAAAATAGATTCGTAATAACTGCTACATTGATAGGTTGCTATATCTGCATACAAAGTATAGTCGTATATTATCAGTTCTGTTATCTATAAGTCGTCAATCGTTTTTTATCCAAGTAAAGCAATACTGTTATACATAATCTATCTATCCAAATGCACGCCGTAAAATTCACCAATGAAGTGCAGATCGACTGAAGCCGTAACAGTGCGTTTTCACGTAATAAACGGATCGCTCGCAAATCCATCATTCCTCTTTCATATTCCTATAAATTCGCGTTTGTCGTAAAAAAGATGTCGCGGTTTGTTAATTTGTGACGACTGAATTAATGAATAGATTGTATAAACGATACCTCGCGACGTAAAAGACGATATAAAATATAAAGTCTTTAGCTAGAAATATCTCCTCGTAAAAACAAGGACTGATTTTGCTCATATGAACGGCCCTCCCTTTTGAATCGCATGGATTCAGTCTTTTTTTTACGGTAACTCTGCTCATTGATGATTGATTTGACGTAAATATTCCGGCGCGTGGTAATGTTGCTGCTGCTGTGCATGTGCCAACGAGGGATGTATCGGTGGCTGGAAGCATCGTACATGTTCCACACTAGCCGCGTCGCTGTCGCCACTTTTCAAATATTTGTTCAAGACTGCGAATATTTGTGAATTTAGAACTTGAAATCGTCTTATTCGATCCACCATCCGCTTCAAGTGCTATAAAAATAAACGTATATCGTTATTTCAAATATAACGAGACGAAGTTTTTTTACACACACAAATGTTGTATACTCACTATTCCTTTCACATTCTCGTCTTTACCATCTACACGTTGCACTCTGAGAATGTGGTAACAGAAATCGAGCGCTTCGAATCGACGTTGTTGGCCCAGAAGAACGATCATAGCGCACCCGGCCCAATGTAAACCCTCACCAAATAACTCTCTGCAAGAGAAAAGCAACTGTCTCGATACACATTACAGAGAAGAAATTTACACAGCGGATAAACAAGTATATACACTTACACATTTCTCTGTCTTTCTTAAAATTAGTAAAAGGAAAAATTGTCGCGATATTTAAAATGCAAATGAAACAATATTTTCTGGTAGAAACACTTTGTTAAAAACACTTTTCTTTCTGTTTTTTTTATGTAAAATTATCCAAAAAGAATAACATGTGCAAGTACTCTTTTTACCCATTGCATGCGCTATAAATTGTCGTACTAACTCGACAGTAAATTCGGTTTCGCCAACAGGAATGCAGTATACAAATTGAAGTGCGCTCCAGAGCCTGTGAAACTCCGTGCATTCATCTACATTCATTACACCGTTCGCCGGTGGCGGACCGACCCAGATAGGATCATCCAGAAAGCTCCGTAATCTGCTGAGTACAACTTCGAATATCGATAGACCGCAGCACAAGCGTTCGCGCGTTAACAAATCTCCCTCTCTAGCGATCATCGCTTGCTGCGGAATGACAGATAACGATGCTTAATTTACATTCTAAGAAAACGCAGTTTATACTTGGACTTAACTTTGTTCTGTTCTTTACCTTAGCAGTGCCCAACTTCTCCACGTTCGGTACGATTTGCAGAGCCGCGTATTTTGCTTCCAGTCGTTTTTGCTTGGTCTCAGGTTTCTCTCCCTCTGAAAATGTTGAATGCAAGCGATAAAAATTAATTTATCTTGCTTTATGACTCTTCCTTACTTTACATTTAAATTAATTGTCTATATCTTTGTTAAGTGCGGATTCACACTCACCTTTACAGTACGGTCTAGGCAGAATGTTTTGGAAAGGTGCGGCGTGCAATAAGTCGCACACTTCTTCTTGCGACAGAGCCTGCTCCATCAAAAGACAAAACAGGATCGTATTGCCGAATTCCCGAAAATTGTGAAACAACTCGGTTTTAGCGTCGGGATATTGCACAATGTCGTTCAATTGAGCGTGGTAATAGCCCAGGACCCCGGGAGATCCGTAATCGTATCGCGGGAGCTTGCAGACTTTCGGCATAGCCTCCATCAGAGTTTTAGTGAATTGATGTAGACTGCCTTGAATCAGCGTCTTAACGATCTTTAAGAGTTCTTCCATGACGACAGCTATCCCTTGATATCCGAGGAGTTTGCATATAGTGCGGAAGTGATACGGACCAACGAAACCCGAGTACTGGCCGTATTGAGTGCTATAAGCCAGATTCAATTGCTTGCTACCCCAAAGATAGTGATGTGACATCTGCGGAGGTTTGTCTCTGTGAACGGGTTGCACGAACTGTATGCCACGGCATTTGACAAATCTGTGAAATGAATAACACGTACTTAACAGTAATATAATAGTAGTAATAATATAAATTTGCAATAATAATGTACGCATATATATTAAGATATAACAATTGTATATACCTGTTTGTGGCAGCATTGTAACAATAATTCGGCAAGAAGTCATAGTTTAATTCCCAGAATACGTGAAGAGTAATCCTTCCATATGGCGCTAGAACGTTGTGGTTTGCTTCCCTGAACATGGCATCGTACTCGTCCAATGCCAGCCACTTGCTCAGAAGCTTGTGAGTGAGGCGATTCACTTGTAGCAATCCGTCTAGTTCCTGCGGAATGTTAAAACGAGCGAAGATCAACGAGTGATGTGAAGAATAACAAAGTATTTGCCGCGATATATAATCGTACAGTACTTACTATAACTCCAGTTATATCACCGGATTCGAATTTACTGATTGCCAGATCCAGCGACTTTTGCATATCCGCGTTGATACGTTGAGTTATGAGTTTGTTCAGATCGATGCTTCTTCCCAACAGCTGGACATGCCTTTGCTTCAACAACGTCTCGTATCTGTTGGCACGCGGATACGGCAGTAGATACGCTCCGAGGGCCACACACTCCACCCTGAAGCGTTTGTCTAACAAGATACTGGCCGCCAATTGTTTGTAATGCGCAAAAATCTGCTCGCTGAGTTTGTATACGAACTGATCGAAGCACAAATTTACTTCGGCTTCCACCTCGTCATACAGAAATTGCTTGCGGAATATTGTGAGCGCGTAAAGCGCGCTATCGTTGTACAAATCCAGGGGATATAATACATATCTGTAAGAAGTTAACGATAGTAAGAATAATTACATAGTAATAATAGATCATAATAGTAATCACATCGAATAATAACATCATATGTTATTCCAATCTAAGTAATTGATAAGAGTTATGTGCTATCGTATGTCGTCGCTTTATTCATGTAACAACTTACTCCATCATCGATGGTTCTTTACTTCTCAATATATGGTCGGTCAATATCCACGGCATCGACATTTCGATCGGAAACTGAAACATTTTTATTTATCAGATGCTTGGACCTGAAATATTGAACGTCCCAGACTAAGCGTTATTTCCTTTAAACATTAGAATCGACGGTTCAAAAAAAGTACGCTTAAGAAAACCTGTACACATATATACAAAACTATCTCTACGTGGCGTTTATCTTGCGATATACTATAGCCTAAGAGAGAAAGATTTATTAGACTCAGCATGTTACAGACACAAAACACCAACGGTTATCTATAAATTTATGCAGTAGCAAACGGGAAGAGTACCTGAATGCGTTTCTCCATGGTGATAAGGTCGCTGCATTCTTCGTTATGCTGGTGACGTACTTGGCATTTCTAGTCATGGAATAAATTACAGAGAATGCTATTTTTGTAATAATAAATTCAGTACACAACAAAAACATAAATATATTTAAAATAGGATAATAAAATTTATTTTGTGCGTGTGTGTGTGTGTGTGTGTGTGAGAGAGAGAAATAAATGTGTGTGCATTTTCTTATATATAACATTAGCCTAGTTTACATCGTACACCTGATACGCGTATCAGGTACTATATTCGTATCAAATTCGTACTAAATATTCAATACGCACGATATAAACACTGATGGATCAATTTGATACGAGCGTACCAAGTAGGAGTATCGTACTAAACTAATACGAGTATCAAATGACGATTTAAACGTATGAAAGGAATGCTCGAGGAAATTGAATCTAACTCAGTTAAAACCGGTAACCATCGGTTTCTGTCAAATTATAGTAAAATGTCTTGTAAAAAAAGGTTAAATCAGGAAGAAACGAGAACATTTTTAGAATTATACATTCTGATTGTCGAACAAAGCTATCTCAAGCAAATTGCAATTTTAAATACCATCACTAAGAGGCAATCGACATAAATTAAATACATATTATATTTTTCCTTTAGTACATTCGATGTAAACGCACCCGTATTAAAGCATTGGTGCGCATCAAATTTAATACGCGTACTAACGTTTTGACAATGTAAACCAGGCCATTGATTAGTTCAATAGGGAAATTATATGATAAGATAATTATAAAATTTACGTTACGTGACAATATGTCAGCTTAAGAGAAAATCAACGTTATCGCTTACCTGTATTTTCCTACCCATAGTCATTTCTAAATAAAATTCTCTATACCATAATTGCGACAAGTCACAACAATTCTGTAGAGACTCTGTGACAAAGAAAAAACAAGAGCGCGCGTTGTTAAGTAATTACAAATCTAAAATAATCCTAAGAAATTTAAGAATAACCGAGTGTTTATTTACCACTAAAATTCAGAAGATAACTCCAGTAGAAACTAGTTTTATGGAATTGATCGATTTGAACGAGATATTGACCATCAATATCCTTCCTTAAGGTACGTTTCCCACCGCTTTTATCGGCGATCAGCGATTCCAACATAGTTCGTACCATATATAGTTGCGTGGAAGACGGACCTATTTCGTCAGAATCAATTTCAAAACTCGACTAAGTACTCAAAAAAAATATAGATACACTGTACAATTGTTTGAAAACTCACCGACATTTCTACGTGGAACCTTAATGCCGAAACCGTTATCCGGATCTTTTTTGCCTTTTAAAGCAGGATCTCCAAGCGGCTCCACTCCAAAGTGCCAATCGGCGCAAGTTTCTCTCACAGAAACGATTATGCTGCAACAAAGAATGAAAACCTGTAACACTTAAATGCATATGAATGTGTGGCCGTTAGCAACAGTCATATTTGTCAAATTATCTTGTAAGTATGGGAGAAATAGTTTTTATAATATAGTTAAAATAGAGAAAATATTTTACAAACCTTCTAATCAGATCCTTCTTATTTTTAATTGCCTTCCTCAGAGGCTCCCGCAATGCGAGTTGTACGAAATCTTGCAACTCAGCGTATATATTTCTACGTATCGCATCGATAAAAACAGTCTCCATACGCGCCATCAGTACTTGCAATCCCTTGATCATCGCTATAACTTCTATAAGGGCGAATTTCTCTTCATCAGAATAGTTGTAACGTGTGGCCTACATAAAAGAGTATAAAAGATAAATAGCGTTGCTGGAAGTATATCATATCATATATTATCGATATGATTAAATACCTATTCGACAATATATTAATGTTGCATAAAATCTTACTCTCTCGTACTCTTCGGCCTCTTGCGGGCATTCCTTGTTCATGTGATGGTCAGTGGGATGTAAAAGCTTCCAACTGTATAACTCCGTCACGACGCTTGTCCACTGCGAGAGCAACTGTAATCCACGTAATGCCAACTCCGCCGTGTCGCGATTTTCCGTGTCGCTTCGACATTCCTTGTACGTAGTGGTGACTTCATTGCTGTATCTTCATACATTACACAATTATCAAAATTAAATAAAGTTGTATTAGATAAAGTAACATGAAATTACGACGCGGTGCGGAGAGACGATGTTACCTTGCCAATTCGCTGATGTATTTCACGTGATCCTCTCTAATTTGAGGAAGATGCACCATAAGATCGGCTTGCGGGCTTATGTTGTTGGACGAAGAAGATAACGGCCACCTCGATGCGTCGAAGTGTTTGGAACGTTTGATATAGTTGAATGGAGCGATCTGCATGTCTCCAAACAATGGCACTACTTCCAAATTCTTAAAGATCCTATCGATTCTGTCCAATTTTAACTTTTTCTTCTGGTCGAGTTTATTGATATTACACAACTCGCTGTCCATTAAGAATAAACCAAAGCCCATCACCTTCACTAACATATGCTTCTCGTTAGGTGTGAGATACATCTTGGCTTCAAACATATGAACACAAATATTGACGACGTCCGCGAGCAGTTCTTCATATCCTGCAATCTTCTCTAGATTCTCTTTTACCGTGTCGCGAATTTTGTTTTGCGTTGCTAGAAACATCGACAAATTTTGGGATTCCTGTAGTGTCTGGGAGTCTGACATTACCTTCAAAAATTGCGCGGCTCTGTAAAATCGAAAAAAAATATATAAAGGGGTAAATACTTGAAGAAATTAAAATATCTTGTCTTATTTTCTTGACAAATTACCTTCTGTATGTCGAGTAATCATTTTTTACACTAGACTTCATGTTTTTCAATTCATCCAATACTGCAAACATATTGATGAATTTTCCCAAAGTCAATAAATAAGCTTCAGATACAAAATCTTTTCTTTTTTCATGATGACATAACCGTTTCACTTCTCCTGAGAATCTCTCAATTGCTTTTCTCTGAAACATAAATGTATATAAACAACATATAAAATAAAACCAAAATAATAATAACAATATAGTACAATTTATACTCACTTGAAAATACATAAAATTTAATAACTTATTTACTTCAGGAGCTAACACTTCTACTGTTTTTTCATAGATTTCTACTCTATTTGGTTGTTCATTAGATTTTGGTTGTGGAATTGCACGTGAACAACATCTCCATGTATACAGCATAACAGCATGTTCTAAACCTTCTTCCAATAACTCGTTCTGGATTTTTCAGACAGAATCATCTTGTTAATCATTAATCAAATGAATAAATATATATATAGAATGTAATGTGCAAAAGATGAGCTTACCAGGCTTGCGTGCACAGTTGCCTCTTCTATGTATTTGGCGATACCTGTTACAAAACCATTTCTATCCTCAAAGTTGGTGTCAAAGTTTGCTTGATATACCACAGAACATGGTTGAGCTTCTATACAAGGCTGCTCATCCGGTAGCGTGAATTCATCCAAAACATCAACGTTCGACAAAGCGTCTCCCAAGGTGACTTTGTCGGTAGTCATCTCGTCGAAGTTGTAAAGCTGTCCCCGGTCAGAGAAACACACCGCGCCCTAAGAGGTTAAGTATGTCCACAAACAACCAGCCGTATATTCTACGTTTTTACGTATGCACTGCTTATGTATTGTGAACAAACATCATAGCGTATCCCGAGATCGGGATAGTTGAACTTCACGTTCGTAAATCACGCACGAGGTCGTGTAAGATCGTGAGAGGAAGTGTTAATTACTAAATGATTAAACATTAGGAAATAATGGATACTCCTCTACGATGCACCGTAGCGAACAACAGTTCTCAATTACTATCAATCGCTATGCGACTTGATGTTCTCCTCACGAATAAAAATTACGAACATAGCATATACTTAACGTGAGAATATCAGGATGAAATCAATGAAACATGTCAAATCCATCCACCCATCCTTATTTGGCTCCGGATATCTTCCATCGCCACCTAGAGGAAACATCAGAGGTTTGTTCTTTTCGGGTGGGATCCGATTGACCACGGTATGATTGGATACAGATTATAATGGGTGCTTTTCCAATTGCTTAACAGACTTGACACTACACAAAACCAGTTTATTAATCACACATTATCTAAAATATCTTGTAAGATAATATGTAACCAATAAACTGGTTTATGTAACACAGTGTACGCAATTGGAGGCTGCGTTCCGCAAAGCGCATCATGCGCATAATGCGCTGCGTTGGAGCAAAAGAGATACGAGAGTGAGATAAAAAGAGAGGGAGAGCACTTAGGTGATGTTCTCGAACGCATGAGAGCGCATGGACTACACTACCTCGGGAGCTGAGGCAGCCTAAGCGCTCTCATACGTTCGAGAACATCACCTAAGTGCTCTCCCTCTCTTTTTATCTCACTCTCGTATCTCTTTTGCTCCAACGCAGCGCATTATGCGCATGATGCGCTTTGCGGAACGCAGCCGGAAAGTACCCAATGATTGGTTCGACCTGGTAACTCACTAAATAATTCTTTGCACCAGTTGGTGGTGTCCAATCGTACCGTGGTCAATCGGAATTACGCAGGATTCACACCGTGTCCGATGTCCGACATACGACGTTCGATACCCAATAGGAGAACAGCTTTCTAATATAGAATTTAATTCTCCATTAGAAAGCTATTCTTTTACTGGATATCGGACGTCGTACGTTGGACATCGGACGTGGTGTGAATCCTGCATTAGGCCAGGGGTGCAGAGAGTCAATTCTGTATCTCGAAACGAAGTGAAAATTACAAAAGTGAGCACATTCACTAAGCACTGACCAATGAAATTACGAATATTCTAGTATATTTGCTTACTTTTGTAATTTTCACTTTGTTTCGAGATACAGAATCGACTCCCAGATGTTTTCAATTTCAATTCGTCAATTTTTTACTCCCAAGGTAGCCCAAAAGGGGAGCGGTGCACTTGGACACGGTGCATTTGGACACAGCCAATCACAGCACCGTGTGATTAGAGACATTTGTAGGGTCCCTTGGAACAGCGACTTGTGATTGGACTGTGTCCAATTGCCCTGTGTCCAACTGATATACACCCGCCCAAAAGTAGTCCAAAAGTCCCTAATACTGTTCCCTAGTGGAAAAAGCAAGAAACAGATGTTAGGTTGCGTTCGGAAACGTCACTCTCCCTCTCTTTTTATCTCACTCTTATATTTCGCTCACTCCAACGGCTATCCTCTAGTAGTGTGCACACAGCGTGTGTTTCTGAACGCAGCCTTATGACTCTTGCACACAGGACGCGGTAATGTTTGCCGCGCGACGGAAGTTCGCGCGACAGCCAATCAATATGCTGCTTTCCGTAATAACTTTCTAGCTCCTACGAAAAAACAATATATTGATTGGCTGTCGCGCGGACTTCCGCCGCGCGGCAAGCATTACCGTGTCCTGTGTATAGGAACCATTGGTTGCGTTCAGCAAAGAAAGCTGCTTTGCAACTGTTGTAAAATTCATGAATCTGATTGGAGTATAATCTTAATTTTAGTTAAATCCAAGAGCATGTACCAATCAGATTCCCGAATTTTACAACAGTTGCAAAGCAGCTTTCTCTGCTGAATGCAGCCATTACTATTGCCTGTTTCGTTCCACCTAGACCCTGATCAATGACCAAATAAATATTACTCAGTTTTTTGAATTGTATCAGCTTAAGGTTGGTATTACATACGATTGAACAACACTTCGACGAATATAATCATTCCGTCCTCAGTTTAAAATATTGATTATTAGCAAAGTTATTGTACAAAATGTAAATAGGGGGCCATAATACTCTACCTTCTTCTCTAATATCTTTCAAATAAAATTATTCTATCTTTGTTTAACATTCATGAGCAACAAAGATAGAATGACGCTTGCGAGTCGTTGCGAGCGTGTAATGGAACGCGCTCATAGGCTGCGTTCCTAAATTCACTGAAAGTGAAGTCAGTACTGAAAATCTATAGTTCATGTCACATATACTATAGAATTTCAGTACTGGCAGTGAATTTCGGAACGCAGCCATAGAAGTCTGTGGTTCGCACCCTCACGTGCGAGACATCCCCTCCATTTATTTTCGAATGGAGCAGCGTTTTCATTCGGCCATCATTGATTGCCACCTGCTAATAAGAATTCATATATGTACATACATACATGCGTGTGCTTTATCGTCGTTTGTTAACCGCTTATAAGAACTTTGATTGTCAAGTAGTCTGTTCTTTTTAGATGTACTACTGAATTAGTGCAATAAATTAGAGTGAAATATACTTTTTCTCACTCTAACTTATTGCACTAGTGCAGCAGTGCAGCTAAAAAGAACAGAGCAAAGAAGAGAAGATATAAAGTATTCGCGGAAAGAGAAATTATCAATGTTACTGCGTTTTCCAAACTATCTTTATCAATAACTACTCATTAATAAAAGGTAAGTAATTTTCGAAGCTGATCATAATATAACTAACTTACTATTTAAAATATGTTAAAATTCCTTTTTTGTGTATAATTAATAGGAACGATATATATTTGACGTGAGAGAGATGACGAACGAAACTTCAGCAAATATTCTGACATTAAATTGCTGGTAAGTGATATATTTATTGTGACAGAGAATTTAAAATTATAAAACCTATACTAATCGTGTTTATTTTTAATTCGTGTACGATAATTATGTAAAGAATTCATTTCTCGTTGACATTTTTTCCACGTTGTTTCGATATATTAAATAAGAATGTGAAAATGAAAATTATTGCTCAACACTTAAAAAATAACGAATTATCAGGAGCAACATCTTTGAAGTTAGAAGACGTGTCATTAGTCTAACCTTTCATCTCTTTCAAATTAAGTAAATTTTGATTATGGTTTGATGTAATTGTGTTACTATATTATATCCAAATGTGTAATAAAACTAAAAGATAAAATTTTCAAAATTTATATATTTCATGTTATATATTGACATACATTCACAGACATATACACTTGCAATAATTCTATATAAATGACATATGTTAGAACAAAGGTTTTAATTGTTATTTTTGTATTTTATATTCACAGTGCTATGCAATAATAGCATGTCTTATTCAAATTGATTCAATCATGCCTTCCAAAAATTATCTAAGCTTTCTGTTCCATTCAGGGGCATACCATATGTTTCGAAAAACAGAGCAGCACGTATATCTGCTATTGCAGAAAAATGTGCTAGCAGAGAATATGACATAGTTTGCTTACAAGAGGTATGGTCTGACAACGATTTTAAGACAATAAAAACACAAGTACAGGAAGTATTGCCATATTCACATTACTTTTACAGGTGCACCATCTTATATTAAATATTTAGTGAACCATACATTGTTTACTAATATTTCATGTCCTTTTTTTCATATAGTGGTGTTTTTGGATCAGGAGTATGTGTATTGTCACGATATCCTATCCATGAAGTTATGTTCCACAAATGGCCTTTGAATGGATATGTTCACAAGATACACCATGGTGACTGGTTTGGTGGTAAAGGTGTTGGTCTTTGTAAGATCAAAATTCGCAATATGAATGTCAACGTATATAACGTACATGTACGTTTGTCTAATGCACTTTTTCATCATTATTTTTTATATTTAATCATATGCAAAGTATTATCCATTTATACAGTTTAAGATCTCTGACTTCTAGCTGTGGAATTCTTTATTGATAACGTCAGAAGCAAGAAATTTCGCGCTAAACGATAAACATGCTAAAAATTCTTACAAAATACATTGAAATGGAAAGAAATACCTATAAAATGATACTTTGGATCAAGCACCTTGTAAAATAGTCTGAACACTTTTGTTTGAACGATAAATAAATAACTTCTATAATAAAATTAATGTCACATATAACTTTCCTTTTCTCACGATTTTGTCACATTAATTTTACGACTATTTATTGATTGTTAAAGTATAAGTATTCGGCTATTTTACGAGTTTACTCGGTTGATTGCAAGTATCATTTTGTAAATATATTTTAACGAATTTTTAACGTGTATTTTCTTGATATTATAAATCAAATCAAACAGACCATGAAAGACTAGGAGTCGTATTGACGCATATTCTAAGTATCCTTTTTATATGCCAAGTTCCTTTTTTTTATACAAGTATCCTGTTGTTTAGCTTCATGATCAGAAAGATATATGTTGCATTCAAATACACCATAAAAGTACGGCCTCTGAAGTCTTAATGTATCAGTGGAAGCCTACAATTTCAAGGATAAATCTATTAAATGTCTGTCATTCATTTTATAGCTGCATGCGGAATATAACAGGGAGAATGACGAATATATGGCTCATAGAGTGCTGCAGGCGTTCGACACTGCCCAATTCGTAAAAATGACCAGCGGCTGCGCGGATGCTGTAATATTAGCCGGTGATCTTAATACCGAGCCGCAGGACTTAGCGTACAGAATTATACATGGTATTGCCGGCTTAACGGACGCGTGCCCGAATAGCGCAAGTCATATTGGGACCAACGAGTGTGCCAATAACAGTTACACTGATTCGAAGCTCGCTCGTGCAAGACCGGACGGAAAGCGTATAGATTATATTTTGTATTTAAATTCAAACGCTATCAAGGTAAGCGAATTACATGATGTATCGATATTGACTCTACTCGCTGAATACATACGTACGTACTGTACGATAATATTAAAGCTCTTAGCTCCTCGCTGCAACTTTCATGATCTATAACGTCAGAAGCGAGAAAATATAGATTAAAAATTCTTGCAAAATACATAGAAATACAAAAATATATCCATAAAATGGCACCTGCAATCGATCAACCAGATATGTGAAGTAATTCTAACACTTTTCTTTCGTTCTAACAATCAATAAATGAGCGTAAAATTAATGTAGTAAAATTATGAGAAAAAGTAGATTCAAAGGGATTGAAGGTAACGTGTCACGTTAATTTATTGATTGTTGAAGCTAAAGTAAAGCGTTTGGACTATTTTATAGATGTACTCGATTAATTGCAAATGTCACTTTATAGATATATTTTGTTATCTTAACGTATTTTGTAAGAATTTTTATCGTATATTTTCTCGCCTCTAACGATATCAATCGCAGGGAGAATCCAGAAATCTTAACGTTTTGTCTTAACAATTTGCAGGCTGAAATCACAAATTATAAGTTGCCTTTACCAAATCGTGTGCCGTGTAAAAACTTCAGTTATTCGGACCATGAGGCTGTTACGGCTACGCTCAAATTCACCAGCGGTAAGTGATACATTTGAATATATGTATATATTCGCGGCATATGTTATTTTTACATTTACTTTCAAACTATCGTAAATATTACTAGATCAATAAAAGACTCGTTCAGACTTTTATCATATTAATTTGTTTTTAATTTATCGTATATTGATACCATATATTGATATCATGATATGCTGATATAATATCGTGATAAGATATCGTGATAATGTTTTCAATCCGTATCTACCCTGTATCCATATTTTTTTGTTTTCCATATATATGTTCGCTCGCAGGTGATCACAGTGCGAAAGATTTCGATGTAACAGACTCCCTGAAAGAAGCAGTGGAAATCTGCGATACCGCATTGAGAAGCGTGCAACGCCGACGTTTTTGGTATCTGTTGTTCAGTTGTATATTGTTCATACCGTTAATTTGGTCCATCGGGCTAAATGCCATAAACATATCCTTAGGTGTAAGTATCGGTTTGGATATACTGCGTATTTTTGTAACTGTGATATGGTGCTACACACTATTTATGAGTTCGATATGGAATAGCGCGGAGCAAAACGCTTTGAAAGCGGGATGTTTAGCTATAAAGATCTATTTGACGAAATCGAGTGGCGATAGAAACTAAATGCCAAATTTACGCAACAACGTAGATGTTTCTGAAGCAAAAATTAAAACATGCTGACATTTAAACTTGATCGGACTCAGACAATAACCCTGTTATAAAAAAAAAAGTTATTTGCTTATTCTTGTTTGACACATATTTTCTGATATACTTCTTTTGATGTATTCTAAACAAACATACATAAAGAAAGTTCTATTTGAATTTCGAAGAGATAATGTTCTTTTAGTTTTGCACTTAAGTTTTATACAACATACACGTTTGATTAAATGGATAAAATTCATAATTACAAGAAAGTAAATTTTGCGTTAGGAAAGAAGTGGATATTAAGACTTAAATTATAAGTCATGTCAACAGTACCAAATGTCTGTTTCAAGTCGCTCATTATTAACGAAGGTATTATGACGTTCTTGACATGAATTTAGACAGTAAGACAATATTACCGATCGACCAATTCACAGGAACTGCGCATATCATTTCGCACCTGTCCACGATATACATATATTTGCATATATGTGTGTGGGTGTGGGTGTGTGTGGGTACATATATATATATTGCGATATATGTATATGTACGAGATATATATATATGTATACAAACATATTGCGGTAAAGATATCTATTTATGTATTCATATATGCTTAATATATAATATCAAGGATATTGAAATTTTGTCCAACTTTTAAATCCAGTTTTTCACACTATATTGCATATACCATTTTATATGAATAACGCTTTGTATTTCGATATCGAAATTAATAAAATACAATATTGAATAAGCATTTGCTGTATATCTTCTGGTAGGCTTGCATAAAACTCCCTATTATACATACTTGATATTCTTTAATAACTCTGTATATTCTATATTTTATCATATTATAATACAATCGTATAAACGAAAGATTATTGCCTTTAAAATTTCCTACGACCATATACATACAGTTGGAATGTCTTTCAATAAAAATGTATCCAAATACATTAGATATATTAGTTCTATATGGTCCTTATGCACACATGAATCATTTTTCCTACTAAGTGATTATATATACAATATAGATATGTAATATATATATATGTATATTGAGGGGCTTTTATAAAATATATATATATATATATATATATATATATATATATATATATATATATATATATATATATATATATATA